ATCACATATATGTATCTCGCTAACCGTTCTAGCAATTTGTACCAAGCTCGGTATGGTTATTGTGCTTGCCACATAAAAGCAAACCGTTGAAAATTGTTGAAATCGGACTAAAATTGAGGCCGCTTTCCATATAACGGTAAATTTCAGAAATGCTTGAAATTTCAATATTTCGAAATTTAAGGACGCTAATTTACTTAAAATGTATACACCCCGGCTTATCATGTAGCGGTAGCTTTCGGAAAGGTGGAAAACATATATTTAATAGTTGCGCCGGGTATTTAATGTTCGGCTCCGCCCGAACTTAGACTTTCTCACTTGTTATAAATAGTCTACTAACCCTATGCATAAAACAGTGATGGCCAGCGTAGGCAGAACTTAGTAAGCAAGTGTAAAACTGGCTTCTTTGCTCCCATTTTTTTAATCAAGAAAACGGCGTTTGACTGCATTAAATACATTTATTTTTTCTGGTTTTTATACTTAAAATAAGGTATCCAGTAAAAAAGTGGTGTGTGCTTTTAACCAGACACACCTACCGTCGTGTATTTCGACCCACTGAATCCAAATCTGAGGCCCGTTTGACTTCTAAACCCTCAAAATTTCGAGTAAATATCGAAAAACCGAAAAAGTGGCAAAAATTCGCAGTTTATAGTTTTAATAAAGCTTTGGGAGTAAATGACGTGAAAAATCGTAGCACAAAATAAAATTCCGTCATAGATTTTTTCATCACTCATTTGCATACATAAATATATTTTGAAGTACATATGTATGTACATATACATATTGCTACCTAAAGGTGAAAGGTGCCAGGTTTATACTACCTGAAGGTGAAAGGTTTGTACTTAAAATAAGGTATCCAGTAAAAAAGTGGTGTGTGCTTTTAACCAGACACACCTACCGACATGTATTTCGACCCACTGGATCCGAATCTGAGATCCGTTTGACTTCTAAACCCTAAAAATTTCGAGTAAATTGCGAAAAACCGAGAAAGTGCAAAAAATTCGCAGTTTATAGTTATAAAGCCTTCGGAGTAAATGACGTGAATAATCGTAGCAGAAAATAAAATTCCGTCGTAGACTTTTTTTATCGCTCATTTGCATACATACATATATTATGAAGTATGTACATATACATATTGCTACCTAAAGGCTGGTATGCAGCTCTAAAGAAAACGGTAAAAAAAATTGCCATTATTTCCTGTGTGTGTGTCCAAGGAATTTGGCAACTGATACTTCACCCGCCTGTTGGCTCGGTCTTTCCTCAAGAAATAATGGAACGGGCATATATTTCTGTTGCAAGCATGGGTTGCCTTGTGCTCTTTTTACACAAAAAACTTTAGAAACCCGTAGTAGAAAGCGTAGC